ATGTAGGCAAAAACTCTCAAATTCTGCGTAGCCCTCTAAAATTTCCATTTTTCACCATATTTGGGTGTAAGTAAGACCCCATATTTGGGTAGTGACGTCATGGTCTTGTATTTACAACTCGTGGTCCGAAATTGGGTGATTCAGTGTGCAGCTGTTCGTTGTCTGTTCAAGAGCACCTAACAGGTGAGCAAGCTCTAATACGATTTCTAGTTTGAAGGGCAATTAGTGCCCTGGTTTGCTTTATAAATTGTGTTTAAAGCAGCAGCTGGTCAAGGAATAGGGTTTTACGCTCAAATTTTTGTCAGAACCAGCTTATTGTTTGCAGCTCGATTTACAATGAGGCAGCGTGTTCGCTTCTCGACTCAGAACCAGGGTTTTTCCTGTTCTCTTTTCCTTTGTGAACTGAATTTTAAGCGGTAGTTGATCAAGGCATAGGGTTATGTTCTCAAAACTTAATATATTAGAACCGCGTGTTCTTCGCAGGTCGATTTACATTGAGCCAGTCCTCAACATATTTGCGGACCTTTTTTTAGAATTTATTCATGTCTTTAGATTTTGTCAACCAGCATGTTTTTTGATTTACATTGAGACAGCCCAAAACTCCCGTGAGGAACGCAACGAATTTGCGGACCTTTTGTTTTAGAGACCATCATTATGCCTTTCAAGAGAATCTTTGTCCTGTGACACTCGCTCATTAGATCTTTGTATTTCATTTAAGTTTATATTTTTGTACCCCTGATACATTCCGCCCCATTCTCGCGCTTTTCACATTTACTTTACACAAACTTATGTGTATATTAGCACGCGAAATATTTTTCTTATCCCTGATGAAGCTGTTGCTCGGAATTTAATTATTATTTTTAATTTCAGCAGTCAAAGGCCTCATTTGAACTACACTTTTCTTTCTAACGTTTATAGTTTTGATACAATGGAATTTTCCATGAAACATAAGTGCTAACTTGCTCATATTTACCAACAAAGCCTCAAGCGTTGTTGTTATTGTTTAATAAAAGTGAAAGCCTAGAGTGTGCCAAAGTTGTTGTTTTGAAGTTGGGTGCCATCCTTTTTTTATAGCGGAATCCATTTTAAACCTCCAAAATTACGAAAAAAATATTGCGAAGATCTGAATAGGCACATTCCACAAAAGATAAACGAATCTTGCCGGAAGGTACCCTTAGTAATTAGCTATATGGGGCTCTGCTGCGTGCGCTTTGCACACTGATTGCTTTGGTTTTAATAAGAACCTTATCTCAGTAGCTTGAATTCAACGTTCGCAGCAAACAAGTGCACCTTATAATATATTTAAAAATGTTGGTAATGTTACTGAGTCCTTTTATTTTGCTGTTGATAAGCCCCCCTGGATAGTGATTTATCCAGTAGATAGCGCTATCCAATGCTTAAATAAACTGGGCCAGCTGGGCCAGATGTCGATGCGAGAAGTTTTTTTTTTATGAAAACCGTTTACATGAAAACCCATAAAACAGCCATAAATCGGCCCGTGGACCACACAAGGTAAGGTAAGCTGTTTTTTATTGAAATCCTTTCATTTTCGTAGGTTACAGAAACGATAGGTTTTTTTCCCCATACAAATCCTTTTCTTTCGAATGTTACGCAACAATTCTGATGCTCGCCGATGCTCATATTTCGAGCTTGGGCTACCTGCGATTACTATTATTATTACTATTATTAGTGTCGTAATTACTATTACGAGTGTCAGCGTTTCTTAAAGCATCTCGCAGACAAGATAGCTCAGAAAGACACCGAGCCTTATCATGTTGTAATCAATTGGCTCAGGACACAGATCTCGTTTGAACTCTTAAGATCGGTACATGCATGCGTCAGAGGTTCGCGAACGCCGTTTCGTAGCAAGATAGAGCAATCATTAGACTGTAAAATAAATGTCGCTTATGATCTTAATATCTCTGCATAATGGAATTCTTAATTTTATAGAATTTTGAACTTTTGTTATTAATTATTTCTATTTCCTCTTCTTTTATGTAAGGTTAAGTTACTTCCATTTTTTAGAATTTGTAAATGAATAGTCTTTTCTTTCTTCACTTATTATATACAGGATTGTTTTTGTTCTCTAATGAAGGCCGAGGGATTTCTTTTGTAACGGATGGAATTGTAGATAGTGTTTTGATGAATTAATTAGATTTTTTGTAACAGCAGGTTGATTGTTAATAGGATTTTAATTGAGGTTTTGTAATAAAGATTCTTCTTCTTCTTCTTCTTCTTCTTCTTCTTCTTCTTATTATTATTATTATTATTATTATCATTATTATTAAAGAAGCAAAACTGAATAAAGGCAAACGAAAGAAGGAGACTCCCGGAAGAGTCTTCCCCGCCATTATTATGTCGCAAGTGTGAACCCGGCTTCAACGCTCGATCTTGACGATCTTACGAAACCGAGTACGATTCCATTTATATGGATAACGATGTATTGATATGGACAAAAAGGTTTGAGAAAAACGCACCCCAAGATCCTCGATCCCCGATCCCCGATCCATGATCCGATTTTTCAAGGAACTCCCGAAAGGCCCGAAATCCGTACCCTTGCCCGTAGATATTAATGTAACTTAAATTTTACTTCACCAACTTTAACATAATACACTTTTTTTACCCCAAAAAATGTACACAAGCCTGGTTTCTTATTTCTACTGGGTATAAAAGTTTCTAATAGAAACCGAAGGATATGCTTATCAAGCAAAATTTTTTTGGGGGGAAATTAACGTTTATGATGAGCATGACTGGCAAAAACAAACGACAGACCGCTAAGCAAGGATTTTGTCTTTCGTAATAGCGAAGAAAAAGGTTCTTTGGTCTCTATACGTCTTAGTTTTGGAACTTCCAGGTTTCCCGTTACAGACTGCACGGTTATGCATGAATGAAAAATGAAATCGAAGTGAACTTACGAGAGCACAGCTTCAATCTCTTGATGATCGGCGGTGAAACTGAACTTGCTGCTATCAGCTGTGATGAGTAAATTCATATAATCATGATGAGCCAAAACCGTTGTTTCTTAATTAACCGGAACTTGCAGATAAATCATGAGCTTAGCACTTTCAATTTCGAGGAACTACGCGGGGGGTTTCCTAGAAAGAGGAAGCGTGTAAGAATCAGAACCCTGGAATCAACTACAGTTGAATTGGACGGTGGAGCGCGCCTTGGGCGCTTTCCATTTTGTTATATAGAATCAGGCCTATCCAGCCAGATTAGTCTACTCCTTAAGACGTCTTAAAGGGTTTTTTTTGGTAGTGGTGGGTTTTTTTGAGTAGGCAAGATGAGCATGCATTATGCTTTTGAGCGTCACCGTTAAAGGGTTCCTCAAAACAACAGCATTATGCCTGAAATACCTCCATAAGTCAGAAACACAGCATTTTATTACATCACTTACTGGTAGCCTTGACGATGGATGGAAAACGAGAAGCCTTGGCAGTAACTTGAACGTGAATGTTTGTTTCTCAATACGGTTATGAAAATACTAATTTTTTTTCCTGAAATGTTGCGTTTTGTTAATATCTTGTGGATGAGTTTGAGGCTAAAAAGGAGAGTTTTTCCCCTTCTACGTTTTTTTTTTCCGGCAGGTTTTTTCTGGCCTCCGTTCTGACAGTATTCTTTGTGAACTGTCGCTCAACTCTGTTCTAGTTTATCTACCATATATTTGAATGTAATAGAAGTTGAAGTATAACGTATTGTTATTTCTGCGATGCTCGGCCGAAACAACCAAAATATAAAAACCTAATGGTTTTTCCGATTCATGATGTACTGCTAGTGGAGCTGAATTTGATAGTTGGTACACTTTGATTTTGTCTTTGTGCTTTGCCATTGGGCCAACCGTCAAGTCTGCGGAGAAACGGTCAGTATAAAACATATACTGCGGACTGCGGACTACGGACTGTGAACTGGGTATAAATACGGATTAGGTATAAAACGCCGACTGGAAAATATGGACTGGCTATAAACCACAGACAAGGTGTAAAAGGAGGACTGCGGACTGCGGACTGGGTATAAAATACGGACTACGAACTACGTTTGTAAAAACGGAGGTAAAATACGATCAAAAGATAGCTTATTAGCAAGACACGTTAGTTTAAGTTATAAGTGCTCCTAGAAATTCTTGGTGGAGGTGTGTCGACCGGTTCTCTGAATCCTGATCACGAGCCTGACCAAAATACTATTTTATACACTCATTTTTAGTCCTCGTCTTGGTCTCTACAAATCATGAAAGGGGTCACAAACGCGATGTACATGTTCGCAGGATAGTCAGGAGCAGGCTAGGGTGTAAATCATGTCATCATAATCATCGCTTAGAATATAACGTTAGATGATTTATTTCGGTTATTATTCACGTATAGGTGAGTAATCCCTCCCCCCTAAATACCGCTTTTTTACATCGCGGAATGCCCCTATATTGATCTTCTCTTCTGAGTTCCTCATTTTCCCATATCCCTAAGGCTTTATTTGAAATGGAATAGTAGCATCTATGAGAATTTTACTCTGACTAACACCAATACTATTTTCTTTTAATGCGGTGCTTCTTATTGGTTTAAAACTATAAATTGAATTCTCTTTTAACTCCTCCTTTTTATAAAATTCAGAGTTTCCTTTTCAGTTGCCTTGGGTAGTTGTATAACCTTCCCTGTCCGCGAAGTATACTTTCCTTCTCCCCATGACTCTGACTTTGGGGAGAATAGACTGCGTGACCAGCTAAAGAAATGTTTTTGTGTGAGGCAAGGAGCTGGGACTACTGTTTTATGCTAGTCCGCTTTCCGTTTCCCTCCGTTTTACCTTCGTAAGCTGTTTTTATCCAGATAGTCCGTAGTCCGCGTTTTGTACTTAGTCCGCAGTCCGCAGTCCGCAGTCCGCAGTCCGTGTCTCATACTGACAGTGGGAGAAATGCCTGGGGCAAACTTTGGCAAACTGCGAAAAGACTGGAACTACAGTAGAAGCTGTTTTTCGAAGCGTTATGCGTTACGACCATTTTTACTGAGCCCAAAATGAACTTTTCCATCCCTGAAAACCTAGATTTTCAGCAGTACTGCTTTGAAAAACATGGATCAATCGAAAATCTAATCGATAAAGCCAAGAAAGGCGAAATCGTTGCCCAAGCAGATCTGGGAATAGCCTACTCGGAAGGTTTTGGCGATCTTTTGCCAAAAGACGAAGATAAAGCGATTGGGTGGCTCAACGCTGCTGTAGAAAGAGGTTACGAACTTCCTGCAATCCTTGAAAAACTTGGAGAATTGCTAGATCTGAAAGGAACGACACTATGTCAGCGGAAGGCTTACGAAATGTATCACAGGGCCGCGAAATTGGGATCTACAAATGCACAAATCAATCTCGCGGAAATGTACCGGTATGGGGTCGAAGGAGTCGTGAACGAAGACCTCAAAGAAGCATTTAAATGGTATAAGATGGCGGCTGATGAAGATGACGGTTGTCACGAAGGCGATACGTTCCGTAGGTGGTTTGCTGGGACGATGAAAATACTAGGGAACGCCCTTGGTGGTACAAAGCTGACTGCTCTAAAGCTATTGAGCAAGTACTACCGCGAAGGTGATTGCCCTGAAGGCCAACCACAACCAGCTAAGGCTATTTATTATCTGACAAGAGCGGCTGAATTAGGCGATGTTGAGGCACAGTTAGAGCTAGGACAGACCTATCTAACCGGTAATGGGACGATGAAGGATATCACAAAGGCAAGGCGATGGCTAGGAAAAGCCTCTGCCAGTGGTGATATCAGAGCAAAACAGGTAAGCTTGGATTGTATTGGGCCTGTTTAGATGAAGGAGGGGGGAGGGTGTGCCTGGGAGTACCAACCTTCCATATCATTCTTTAGAAAATGCCACCCTTCTGGATAGACTGCCCTACTGCTTTTTACATATTACATGGTGTTGTCAACACAAGGAGAGAAAAATTTCTTATCTCAAAGTGGCGATGTAATGTTCTATTAATTTTGTTTACTTTTCTTGCCAAAGGTGCTATTTATTATGTAGCCATAGCAACAGTGATCTTTTCACATGTGAAGATACAGTCATGTATCTTGTTTTTGGGTAAAAGCTCACCCAGTATTTCACTGGTGGTTATATAACAGTAACCATTATTTTTCATTCAAAATATTTCACCATTTCTGATGGCTCCATTTCCCCAGCTAATTTTTCATAACCAACCTGCCCTGACCAAATTTGGAAGATGTGAGCAATATATCATTCATTTGATAGTAACTTGATTTGAAATGAGGTTGCTAGATGGTATATTTGACTGAAAACGAGGCTGCATGAGCAGTATACCCTCTATTAATTTCATTTTCAGGCTAGGATGTTAACTTCCTCTGCCTTCAGCCTCGGTGGATAGCATCCTCCTCAATGTAAATAATTCTTCTCTTCTCAGCCTCATCCATTAATGTATTGCTAATTATTTATTACACCTATGAATTGTACTCTGTGGTATCTGCTGAACAGAAAAACAGTAGGCCTGAATGCATCAATGCTGTGAGAGAATTGAAGTTCAGGGAATAGAAAGGCCTTATCAATGAAGCTGATGGGTGGAAACCAAAAATGTCCTTTTTTTTCCAAGTAGAATGAAACTCATTGTTGAAGTTTACAACTTTTTAGCAACCAATTAGGGGGATTTTTGCTGGGCATTTGCTAGGCTTGCGGAGTGAGAATTTCATCAAGTTTTCCTGTCAAAGTCACATTTTTTTGTGTTTTTTTTTTCATAAGTTTATGTTGCAATATGTTGTCTAAATTGCACTTACTGTAAATGACATAATAGATGCCCTGGGTATCTAATTTTTGAGGTCCAAGCTGGGGTGTTTTATAGATGGTAGGCATTTAAAAGAGAGAGGCATTTGTTCTCACTGTAACTCGAGCAAGCTCAACAAAACTAATAAGCTATTAATTACCAGTAGTAATTAGTAATTAGCAAGTATTGCTTCCAGCAAAAATATCAAAAGAGTTTAAAAATAGTGGAATATCCACTCCATCATTTGACACATCTAGGTTGTCTTCTCAGATCCATATTGCTCTTTCAAATCCAACATCGATGTCAGAATCCTTGCTTAAGGTCATTGTGTTGCCATCGTTAGTCTATCCTTGCTTTGAACTTGACATTGAACAAGATGAAACACGCATTTGCATTGTTAATCAAGCAAGAAATTGAATTAATTGAATAATTTTCCTCCTTTTTGCTAATTGTGCTAGTATATTGGAGCAATTCTCATAGGGGGCGTCTACAGTGTCTTAGAAAGGGGCGTCTACCGGCAATACAATTTTAACAGCCTTGAGGGGCTATTTTATTAGATAAGAGGTGTTTATTTTGGAGTGGGCATCTATAAGATCATTTATGGTAAATACCACAACACTTGCTCTTTAGCACAATCCTGTCTGTTATCTCATTTTGATTTGCTTTGGCTCATCAGCTTTTCCAGTTTTAATTGTTGAGGTTGTTTGCGAACGATTAAACAGAGTAAAAATAAATAAATCGAAGAACTTGTTACATGTGTTGAACCACGAACAGTCCTACTACAAAGTGATGGAGTTCTCCTAGTCTTAGTTGTTAAACTTTAGTATCTCCTCTTTGTCTAGCAGAGATGTGAGAAAAATTTACATCCTTTTGTAATTCCTCAGCCTGTTGCATTTTCCGAGGAAATGCTGAGGAAATTTGATTCGTACCCAACAGGAAGAATATACCTTCAAGCCTTTATACTTGCAAAGAAAGGATTTGAAGTCCTTTATGGGAGTAACTTTACAGATGGAAGAGGAATTTCCTTCTTAGCTCGTGGCTTCCTGACTGAGAGCTCTATACTACAAGCTTTTCCAATTGTGCGTGCAGTATTGCCTCAGATCTTTCAACTTTGTGAAAGAGAGTTGCAAAAAAATCCTTGTTTCTTTGAAGGCCTTGTTATATCTTTTGCCTTACAGCCAGTTGTGGAACAGTTCTCTTTTGAAAGTGACAATCTTGACCTCAAGAAAGTAATGTGCATTAATAACTTGATTCATCTAATCCAAGAAGCTGAACCTAACAGAATTCCTGCTGAAGATCCCTTTAAGTTTGATGAAGACTACGGTAGCTGGCTTCATGTTTTGTATGCACTTTTGGGAGGACTTTTGATTGTTGCAGAAACCTTTGAGAAGGCAGCGGAAGCTTTTGAGCACTCTCTTGAATGTTGCCCATCTTATTTTGACTCTAAAAGAGGGCTTGGATATTGTTTGATGAAGTTACATGATTCTTATGTGGGCACAATTACAAAAGAATTGAGTGAGGAATCTAGTGAAGTTGTATCAATGAAAATCTCAAAATATGAGTCTTGGACCCAAAAAGAATTGAGAGACGGGGCAGAGAAGATATTAAAGGAGTATCTAGCTGAGGCCCCTACTTGCTGGAAGACATATCCAAATGTTTGCTATTATCTTGCACATATATTCAAATATGACAACCTGAAACAGTTCAGAAAGTACTATGAACTCGGTCAAGATACTGAAGAAAGAAGGCTTTCTTTCCTCAACCCATTAAGACTGCCCCTGAAAGATGAACTTTTGGCCATATACCAACAACATTCAAATGCTTCAATTAGGTGCGGTAATTCAGCATGCACTAAGAAAGTTGAGGAGAGCAAGTTGAAATTCTGTACCCAATGCAGGATTACAAAATACTGCAGCAAGTAAGTAGCGAGTTGTCAAGCTAAGCATATTGGCCCTAATGGACATTCTCATTAGGGGACAGCTCTATTTATGGCCACTTTCACAAAACCCTGTTTTTCTTAACTCATACAAACTCTGCAGCCAGCTCCAGTTATGGACACCTTTTTTTGAGTTCTGAGGGTGTTCGCTTATGAGAGCTTTCACTGTATATTTAATTAGTAGAATCCAACTACAGTGTTGCATGATATTGCGAATTCTGCAATCTGATTGGCTGAGATACGAGGCCCTAAGTGTTCCTTTTCCATCCATGACCATTTCATCTGGCATTCCAAGATTCTTGTTTACTGGATGTCCTGCCACCAATACCCTCCTCTTTACATTGGTGAAACCAGGTGAAGCCCCAGGAGTAGTTTTAGCAAACGCTTTTAAGTATATCTTGTGGTTGAATTTTATCCTTGGTAAATAAGTTTTATTTTCCTTTGTTTTAAACTCATTAATTGCCAACGAGCAGCCTCGCAAAGATGCAAGGCTGCGAGGCGGCAGCCTAATAAGGCCGTGTGCAACTGTTCCTGGGGCAGAAAAAATCTCAAATCGATGTAACATAGAGTAATGTAAGGCATCACTCATGACGTAATGTAGAACAGAGAATGCATTATTTTCGAGCGAACATGTAATTAAGAACAGACAATCCACGAGCCATGTGCGTGCTTGTGAGTCCCGTGTTCATCACGCCTTATTTGCATTTGCATTTGCAGCATATGCGAATGGCTGCTCATTCTCTCGCTTGAATTTTTCATTGTATGCCACTAAGAAAAATAACAACGCCACAAAATTTTTTTGTCTTTGAAGCAATTAAATAATTTGGAAGGCTTCATTGGCACACCATAAATTCTTTTAGCTTTAAAAAGAGACCAAATATGAGTCTGCATGTTGAATGTTCGTGGACTTTAATATGATTTTTCAAGGATTTTAAGTTTGCTTATAAGACCACTAAATTTTATGCAAAATGACTTGTGCGCAACTTTGGACAAAAACGCGAACTTCAATATTTCGAAAAATTTGCTATGTAAGGTCGAGATTTCAAATTCTTTATGCAGTAGAACAGTTTAGTTCACTATTTTCGAAAGACAAACTTAAAGCAAGGGGCACACATACACCAAACCCATGATCTTTCTTCTCCGTGCATGTCGTGGGAGAACTGCTGTACAGTTCCCATTCAACAGCTCCCACATGTCTTGTGTGGAGCTGGTACTTAAAGGACTCGCCTTAGCAGTAAAGGTTCTTTTACACACGGGTTTTCCCCGTTCATTGACCGACGGCTATGCCATGCTGATGAGCCCCAATAAGAGCGAAACAGCTCTCCATGGCTGCCACTGCCCGTGTGACATGGCTGTACGCATGCGGGGGATAATGGCCAGGCCGTGGGTTGGTTTAAGTGTGCCCCTTGCTTTAATTTACTGGTAACTCGTGATCCACCTTCTCCTCCTGTGGCCTAACCTGTCAACTTTTCGGGTCACAGTATTGCTGATGGTTAGGTGCGGGATATGGCAACCAACATCCAATGGAAGCAGCATGAACAGTACAGGCTAAAGGACTTAATTTTAATTTCAACTTCCATTACACTGTGACATGCATATATGTGTGTTCAGTTTATTTATCGTCTTAAGAAAATTGCATACATGGTTTCATGTGCACTGAAGAAGGTTTTTATATCTATTTGCTTTTTAAAGATGCTAGTGGAGTTACCTTTTACAATTACGATTATTAATATTTATTTTATATGTTAAGTATCTAGAGATACCATTGAATGCTAATTGTTTACAAACATTGTGCAATGTATACAAATCTTTTTTCTCTATTAAGCAGACACTAAATTTTTGTATACAACTAAGAGCAACAGAATAGTGGTGCTTAATTTACTTTATAAAGAAATACTAACTAGCCCTCTTGTTTTTATTTTATTTTTTTTTTCAGAGAATGCCAAAAAGCAGATTGGAAGAATCACAAAGCTAAGTGCACTACTGCGAAAAAAAAAATAGTTATTCACCTATAAGCCGATTTGGGTTTTAAACTATAGTCCTAAACTTCCTTCTTTGACTGATTATTACCTTAATATCATTGACTGACTTATAAAGGTTAAGTGGTACTGTAAAATTCAACCCAGAATTATTGGTGAAAATACCTGAAATACAACAGGTCATACAGTTTTAATTATGCCAAGCACTTTTGCATTAGAAACAAATGTCCTACAATTCTAGACAAAGATCCTCTCAACAGCGATACAATAGTTAATAGTAATATCTGGGATAATAAAGGTTGAAGATCAGTAAAAACCTGGGGCTAAGAACCTGGTCTTTTAAAACCTGTTAGGCTAAAATTTGCTATGCAGGCCTCCTCCAAGATCTTGTTTAGCCTAAAATGTTAAAAGCAGTTTCTTATTTTCTAAAATCTATAATCTATGAAAAAGATTTTATACACTTGTTCAAATAAGATAACTCAACATTTAGGATCCTCTTTGGAGACATTGGTGCCTTATTTACTCCAACTGCAATGTAATAGTATGCAGTCATTTATACAAGCAATAAGGTGAATACCCTTAGCTCAATGGGTTTTTTTTTCTTCAGAAAATAAGAACCTATTTTAAGAACCTAACAAGACCCTCATATTAGTGGGGGTTCATTGGGCGGCCGTGGAATGGGATAGAGATAGCCTTTTGAAGCGAGAAGCTATTGGCATTATTTTTAACTGGGACATTTCCACAACTCAACCCATTCCCTTGTCAGTGTACCGACCCTCCCCTTCCCTCAGATTTTTCCTGAGGGGAGGGGGGAGGGTTCTGTACACAGGCCACCCCTTCCCCCATGCCTCTGCCACCAACATATATATAGCATATAACAGTACCAGCGTGACTAATCTGATCTAACCGGAAATTCCAAAAATTATTGTCATTCTACTCTTACAAAATGTGACAGTGTCAGTTTTGGTGGCTTTTTAACAGTACCCGGTAATTTCTGTTCTTTAAATGTCGCAAGGCAAATAAAGTTTCAGTTTTTCTGTCCGATGTTGCACTGTAAAGCCCTTCTAACTATCCACGTGAATATGTTTCTCCTTAACCGGACGATATACAAAGAGTATATTCTTTCTTATATTACTTTCGATCCACACGCAGAGAGAGAATTGCAACTTTCTGCAGCTCCCGCACAAGCTAATGTCGACTTTCGAATACTGTATTTTTACTATTTAGATAATCATTCGGCGTAGATATAGGCTTAATATTAACTCCATGCAATAATTTTGAGTTCGTTCCAAGTCGACTTCCAAATGTGTTCGCCAGATGACCTGAAATAACCCGTCCCCTCTCCGCAGATCTCGGCGCCATTGAAAAGGAATGGGACACGCACAGCCTTCTGGTAGTTCTGTCCGCCATTTTGTCTTTTTGCTGCACAGATGAGGCGGCCTCCATTCTATGATTGGGCGTTGCCCTTACGAGCCGCCCAATAAATAGCCTAAATTTGTGGCTAATTACCATTTAAGTAAGAACCTGTTTAGGCTAACTTGGGAAAATGCAGGTTCTTAGACGCGGCTTGGTTTGAGTCGCATATATTCTAAACCGTGGTTATCGCCCGTAGAGATAAGCACTCGATCTTGATGATATTACAGAAAATAGGAGACTGTAAACAGAGTCTACAGAAGTCTAAAACATGTGCAACAAAACGTTAAGCAAAAAGTGTTGACCAAAGATTGCTAAATGTGCAATTTTTTGGAGCTCTACAGTAAGTGTCAGAAAATTAACAGTCAGTAATTCAGCTAAATTGTTCCACATTTAAGTTTTACACTTAGGTGCAGCGTGCTTGATTGAGGGCTAAGTCGTTTTTCGAACAACATGTCATAAACAAGTGGTTTAATTGTGACCCCTTTTAGTTTCTCCTTATGCTGATCAAGGGGCCAATTGCATAAAACTTGATTTTAGACATAATATGCTAACGTCTGAGGCTCAACCCATTCAAACTCTTAACTTTAACGCCGGCAGATTAATTAGCAGTTACCTCTGACATCAGGTTTTGTGCAACAGGCCCCAGAATGTTGTTGAAGAGGAGTTAAGAGCCACCCTATTTTTTGCACTTCAAAGTAAAACCTGAGAGAATGAAATTGTGAAAAAAGAGGAATCTCACTCCCCAAACAATGAAATTGACAAATCTAATCGATACTAATTCATTTGAAACTCTTACAAAACAACACGTAAAGTGTTATAATTGAAGTACACTATTCAGTACCAATGTTAATGGCCAAGTTAAGGGAAATTTACCGAGGGCACCCAGCGACTGTTTTCTGTAAAATATCTGTTCGGAGAAGCAAATATTGCCTAAAATTTTCTATCACTTGAGGAGGGCTAAAAATTTTAAGATGACAGTACCATTCATGTACAATTTTCGAAACTTATCTAATAAATTCCGTACGGTTTTCTGAAGTTTAAGTTTTCTCATTTCACTTCCCAGGTTAGAGTATTTTTGTAGAAAAACAGAAACCTAAACTTTTCGGGTTCAAAAATCTGATGGAGAGAGGAATAAGAAACTCTTTCTTTCGTAATGTGTTAAATTGCATCTAAAATTTTCGGGAAAATAATACTGAACCCCTTCTAATTTCGAAAAGACTCAAGTTTCCCTAGGATGACGGAACAGATATAAATTCTATATCGTCGTTTAAAGTGCATTTCTAGAGATCTAAGAGTACTCTGGTGTGACGGAAGGTTTTTCCACTTTGAAACGAATTTAAAGCTCAACGGGAACCCGGTGCTTGACTCACGATAAAACGGGGAAAACTAGACTCAAATGGCAACTCGCTTGCGCGGAAGAGGCGTCGCTTCTCTTGAGGCCCGGGATCTGACCACTAACTGGTACAGCAGTAGATAAAACAGAACTAAACTTGGTTCCAACAGCGTTTATTCTTCAGCGGATCAAACAGCAATAACTCGGCTAGGACATGGCGAAATAATCGACGATGTAATCGAAAAATCAGTTCAAAGCAACTTACTTATATATTATTTTTACAACCATTGAAGACAAAAGAATACAATAGAAATATACACAGAAATCACTTAGGGTTAAATGAAAACTAAATACAAATTCTATTTTTAACTTGAAAGCTTTTGTTACTGTTGCTGTTTTAGAAAGTAAAAGTACTGAGACAAAGACCTAGCCAGGTCAGCAAAACAGCGTTTATGTACAAAGTGTTACAATATGAATTAAATTGCAAGTTCAGCTATCAGCTGTTTAAACAGGAAAAGCGCAGACTATAATTGGAAGTTTTCACCTTAAACAAAAACCGATCTATTTTTAAAATTACAAGACAGCAAACCCTTTCATATTCAAAATTCGGTTATCACCTTTCCTTAACTAACAACTTAATGAAATATACTTTTGCAAATAAATATAACTAAGTTGCAATTAGAACGAGGTACACCTGTATCAAAGGCGTAACCATGAATAGATGTCGTCTGGTAGTTAAATCACGAAAAATAGACAAAAGTCAAATAAACCATTATTAAGAAATTAAGTATTCTTTCAAGAGTCAGCATTGACGTAAAATGTATATAATTGAAAAGAGAACGAGCAATTAGTTTTGTCTGTTAAGGAACACTGTTGGCTTTTTTATGATTATTACGTAGCGAACACAAAGCAAATGAATCAAAGGATAATAAAAATGGCAGGAGCCCTTTTCGCGGAGTTAAAACCTCTTTATGCAAATTCAGTATGAATTACTAAAATATCGTCAAAGCGAATATTTGAAACCTATATATGAAACTCGAGGCAAATAAAGAATTCATGGAAAATCTCTCCTTACACTGGATAGCCTAAAAAGTGTTTGTAATGTCTTCAGGTGGATACCGTCGTTAGGTGCATTTGATTTACCGAGTATTATGTGGGTTTACAATACACCGTTGGTTTGCAAATCTGTCCATGGAAATCATTTATTGTTAAACCCTGTCTTAAGTTTAAATACGATACACAGCTGTATTGTAACATTGTTTTCAATTCTTAAATACTTATGAGTTCTCCTATGAGTTGTTCATCATAATCTAAAACAACTATTTTGCCAGTGTATTCCTTCTACTTGTATTCTTGTTTTGGGTCACCTACTCGGTTAGTTCTACGAACTACTTAGGTGTCCCAAACTGTGCACAATGAACCTAAAATTGAAAAAATTCTTTTTGTTCTTCACAATCTTTTATGTTTTATCTTTAAAAGCACTGATTTCTATTAATATTCCGTGTGAGTTTAAATAAAAATTGACTCGACTTGACTTGGGCAAATCGAAAGACAGTGTTAAGACACTTGGTAATACAAATCACAGGGTCCAGATGAGTTTCGTGTGTATAAATAAATTACTTAATTAAAGTCTCACCTTGAAAAATGTCTATACTTGTCGCTTAGCACGATTAATTAGCCCAATGGGATCTTTATGAATCTACTGTAAACGATTTCTTCGCTTCTTGTCTGACCCAGATCGACTTTGTTGTTCGCCATTTTGAATGTGTCGCGAAACTGTGAACCCGATCGTCAACGCGATCAAAATAACCCATTATTTCAGATGTTTTCGACGGGTTTTGATGTCCTAACGACAAACACATCTCCTCTGGGCCCTGTGTACAAATATGGTAGCGTCAAAGCTTATTTAAAAAGGCAAAGGCTAACTTCCGGTTGACGTGCGTCACTCAAAAACATCGCTGCTTAAATTCCCCATGATTCTTTCTGCTAATTGGCTTTTATCCCTTAGTCAAAACTTGCTTACCTCGATCGATGTTAAGCCCTCATCTTGATCATTTGCTTGTTTCTCAGCAAGTTCAGTATATTTAAAGAGGGATATCTAGTCTAGCAGATATTCCTCAATATGTTTTTAGGCGTTGTTGGGCTTTTTCTTATTCGCGAAACGTGTCCAATGTTGCGCCATTATGTACTGCTCTACAAAAACAACGCAACATCGTCCCCAGGGCCTCTCGATTACCGTCCCTTTTTCTAGCGATTACCCTGTGCTATTGACGTCATTTTCCAGATATCACAAATGTCTTCCAAATTTGGCCAACGCTTGTCACGGGATTTGAGCCAATCCGAACAGGAGAAATATTTTGAATAAATAATAACACCTATTCTTATATAAGAAAAACATGTTTTTACACAGGGAGCCCGCACAATCTGTTTGTGTAGCCGATTGTTATTTTATAGTAAATGTTCTGGATTTACCTTTTGTCTCACCTATAGCGATATGTCGCTAACTATGTATATAAATCAATGATAAATAAACGTTGAATTACCTTACCTGTGGTATATAGTCGTCGTTTTACCTCAAAAGCGATTTGAGCGATTTTGAACGAGTTTGAATTCGCCGTTGACTGTTCCTTATAAGTCAACAGCGAAATCAAACTCCTTCAAAATCGCTCAAAATACCGCTTTTGAGGTAAAACGACGACTATATACCACAGGTAAGGTAATTCAACGTTTATTTATCATTGATTTATATACATAGTTAGCGATATATCGCTATAGGTGAGACAAAAGGTAAATCCAGAACATTTACTATAAAATAACAATCGGCTACACAAACAGATTGTG